GATTAAAACAAAACTAATAAGCATCCCCACAAAGTAACTGCAGGAGCTCTCACCTTCAACAACCAGACTCTGCTCTTCAAGTTCATAGCTGGAGCCCAGCTTGGTGAATCCATGTGTCAGGCGTTTCAGCTCCTCATACACCTCTTGCTTTTGCAAAGCTCTCGAGAAAGGGTCGGGTGTGAGCTTGCAGATGGAGGCAACACTTGTGTAAGTCTTCCCACTGACAGGCCTGGAGGATGACAGCCAGAGTCATCAATGTGGGAGAAGAGAAAAATAGAGCAGGGTAGAGGCAGGGAGAAGGATTTAGAATCAGGCTCAGGTTTGCAGATGTCTAAGCAGTGCTTTATTAGCATGGTAATCCTTGTTTCTGCATGTTTCTGCAGTTTATGCTGGATGAGACAGGGACTCCTGCAGCCTTGTGAAATCAACCACTGATTTAATCCCAGGTAAGGCGTTTTGAAGAGGGTGAATCAACTCTGCTTTTTTCTTCCTCTAAAGAGGTGTTGGACAAGACACACAGAAGTAGATCTTGCTTTCAGCCTGGTCAGTTCTGCTGATTGCTAATGTGCTTATTCCAATAAATTAAACCAGAATGAATGTATTTGTTTTACTCTGGAATCGTTTACGCATGACAATAGATCTGCTACCTCTCATTTGACAGGAACCCTTTGTGTTAAATGAAGAACTGACAGAGCGACTGAAGGTGCTTCCCGTGTGTCATCCAGAGCACACAGGTTAGTAATGAGGCATAAAGACCATGCTATGACTCCAAATGGCTCTTCTGCTAACTGCTCTTTTGGGACTCAGGTAGGACTTACCCAAAGCTCTCAACGGTACAGCCAGCAAAGTAGTCCTGCAGGCTGCTAGTTCTGAGCACATCAAGCTGATGGGAAGAAACAAAACAATGGAGGAAAACTGAGTAAATTTAATACTCAATTTGGACATGGAAATTAAGGAATTGCTGTTAGTTTTACCTCTTTCTCAATTTTCTCTTTGTTCACTTGGTACATCTGTGACCTGGAGTCCTGCAGTTCTGGGGAGTAGGGAAGGTTGGAGATTCTGAAACTTAATCTGAAGTTTTCTTTCTTGGTCTTGAGGGGTGTTTCATAAGTTGCTGGCTCAATTGCTAGTTCCAAGCCTGGAAATTAAGAGGAGAAGTTAGTATAAATTCCAGCAGAGAGAAACAGAGGCTTTTCTATCACACAGCATTGACCTGTGGGCTTCTAACTAGGAAAACATGCACAGGAATCTGTCAGCAAATTCCCAGTCTACCCTTTGAATCAGCCCTTCAGCAATGTAGTAGGCCAATTGTTTCTGTGGGAAGTTGTACATTTGAGAAGAGCTGAAAGTCTTTATCTCTAAATGTCTGAGTTATGGTGAGTAGTTACCACTTCCTTTTCTTACTTGAGTAACACCTTAAGCCATTAGGGACCAAAGGGCTACACTGAATCAGACTGAAAGACTGGCCCAAGGCAAAGGACTCTGACCTGAGTCCAGTGATTCAACTTGGTAACAGATTTATTCCCACACACATGCTTCTGATTGACCAGAAGTTGGGGAATTGTGAATATGCTGTGCCAAAAGCAGTCGGTCTGGGTGGAAACTGGGCAGCTGTGGTTTGAGATCTACGTACTGTCTACTGAGAGCCCTTGCAGCTGGTAACTGCTTCCCAGCCATAGTCCGGTTGCATTCGAAGTGCTGTCCTGAAAAACCCTTTCAACCACAGCTCTGTTGATGTTGGGTGCTGACTGGAAGAAGCACTTGCAGTCGACCACTATGGATCCAGCCCTGTAAACAAAAAACCCCACAGTTTCTGAGATAAATATCCTGGTGATTACAAAACTTCTTCATGTGGGAAAGGGTTTTCTGGAGGATTCCTGCTGTTGTAAGTGTTTTAAGCTAACGTGGTGCTATTAGGAGATGTGAAACATACTATTTGGAGGCTTTTCCCTTTGACAGGAACAGCAAATGAAATACCACTACCCCTTCTCTCTGCAAATTTGGGTTATACTGCATGCATACAGTAAGATCAGCACTTTTTAAAGCCTTTACCTGAGGGTCGCTAGTCTAAATTTCTTTCCATCTAGAGCAGGACAATACAGCTATACCTGAAGCCCACTTTTAAAAGGTAGCAGAACCCAAGCTGAAAGGAAGAATACAGGGGCTGCAGGGTGGCAATCAGTAGTTACAGCAATCCTGAGACTGAGAAAAATGATCGCCCATACCAAGTCAGGAAAAAGTCAAACTGACACATTCTGGGAAGCCGGGAAATGACTTCTTAAGGCATAAACTAAACCATTTCCAACATGAGAATGGAAGGGAGGAATTCTGCAGAGAATAATGGCACTTGGCTACTGGGGAATAGTGCCAGGGTGTGGCAACCTTTCAAACAAGATCAGATTGTATTGCAGACCTTAGCCTTGTGATACTGCAGTTCAGGAACTGGTCTTGCAGGTTGCTCTGACGGTACAGTTGATTCACCTAAAATAGGAATGTCATGTTAAAGATTAAAGAGTTCTGGGTCTCATGGTAGATGCTTTAGGACAGCAGGAGGGCCTCTAACTTTGGAGAAACACCAGATTTTTGTACAATTTTTTTGCTAGTTGGATTTCATGGGAGTTGGTTTTCACTTCAATTTATGCCTTCTGGTGATGGAGTCTGACTTCCAGCTTGGCAAGCCTTTTTCTCTTATCTGAGCAAGCTGCCAGTGTTAAACAGCACAATCTGCTGACTGACAGCTGTCATTTTGATCAACATTTCACAGACAGCACAGACTCAGAACTCGAAGTATGGAACGTTACAGCTTCATCTAAAAAGAAAACCTACTCCGTTAGGGCTTTATCAGGTTCATATGGTGGTCAATTGGCACTGAAGAGAGCGTGCTGGGTTCTCAGCAATAAATTATATATACGTGCTGACCTCTGAGCTTGCAAAGATTTGTATACACTTCAAGAGATGGGACTGAAATGCTTGAGTGCCTTTAAGAAATCAGCTAAACCTCTTGCATTTTGCAGTGCATATATTTGGATGGAGAGAATATTCTAAGACCACATGTAACCTAACAAATCAAAAGTACTTCCAAGGCCAATCTCATGTTTCAGAGTCTAGAAAATTTTGTTCCCAAATGTTGATTGATGCATTTTTCTAATTAAGACATAAATCTATGGCAGCTGCTGTAAAAATTCACCAGTACAGTCTTCATGGTATTTGAGCTGCAGCTCCTTACCTTGTTACTGATGCTTTCCACTGCTGCTTTGTATTCTGGAGACTGAGAGTTTGGGTTAGTTAGGTTTTCATTGACTATTCTAAAGGTCAAACTGTAGCCTGATTTGTCTGGAGCTTCAATCAAGATGGGCTTTCTGGCCATAGCTGTGTCTGTGAGGGAGAAACCTAAATAGAAAAGGTAGGGTGCATTTGTTTTTACATCAGCTCTATCCATATCACAAAAGTAATATAGGTATATGACAAATTCTCCAGGAATTGTATGATTTAAGGCACAGAAATGCTTCTAGAATGGCAATATAATGCTGTATTGGTTTTGTCAGTGTCAAAACCTACAGAACACCAGCAAACCACAGGGGAAGCGCATTAGTACTCAAACCCCAGTGGAGTGGAAGAAAGAGTGACCTCTAAGTAATCCCAAAACCATAGCTTGATACTGTTCATGGATGCTCACCATTGATGTACAGGCTGTTCTTCTCCAGGCTGTAGTGCCCCAGTCTGGTGATGCCATTTGTCATGGTGCTGAGCTCATGATAAACCTTTTCTCTGTCAAACGTGGCAAGACTGGCATCGTTGTTGTAGCTGCAGACAGCGTCTATTCCTGTGTCATCCCTGTGTCTCCCAGACCTAAGTAAAAGTCAGACATGCTCTTTAGGACACTGCTGATGTTTACAGAGCACCCTGTGTAATTTGTGTGACTAGAAACGACTAGAATCTTACCTAAATCTCATCACTTTACACCCTGTGTAGACAGAGCTTATGCTGCTGTTTTTGAAAAGACGGTCAATCTGTAAATGAAACAAACCCAAAAGGTGCAACTAAGAATTTGAAAGCATGTCCCAGGTTTAATGCAGTCAGATTAAGTTCATCACCATAACACAAAATGGCAAAACCAGAGCCAGACTTACATAATAGTTGATAACTTTTGCTGTGGAAGTGAATTTGGGGGAACTTGGTGCATCCAGATCTGCCGTGTACTGCAGGTTGGTCAAGGTGAAATTCAGTGTGAAAAGCATGGATGTTGGTCTCGGTGCAGTGGTTAAGCTCAGAGCTATAATCAAAGGGGAGAAGGATTATGATCTTGGTATAAAAAAAGTTACCTTCACTTTCAAAGACATTCCAAATCCTAGCCCAGTTCAAAGATACTCTGAAGAATCTCTTCCCCTCCTATTTTCTGAGTGTACCACTCCTTCAACACCTTTCCCTGGAATAAGTTTGGCAAAACACTTACATGATCTCTCAAGTGGCTCAGTGTAACCTGGAAAGGAAACAAACAAGAAGCACTGTATAAGAGAACTATACACTTAAGGGGATGCAAGAGAAGAGGGGATGATTAAATGGATGACTTGGGAATGAATCATCAGAACCAGTCCCTGAGGGTGTGAATCTGTTAAACAACCTACTGCTTAAGCAGAACAAGGTGCTTTTATATGAAAGTGATGACTACAAAGAGAAAATGTATGTTCCACTGTTTAAATACTGGAGGGAGAGAAACTGGGAGATAAGTTGATATGCAGGTGAATGACTGGGGTCAAGACTAAAATCAAGTAACTCTTCAATGTCATATAAATATTGAATTTTTTAAAAATATCTATGTGAAAATGTTCTTGGAAGTATACACTTCACCTTATGTACATAAGTAAGCTATGCAGTAGAATGCAGTGAGACTACCTGTTCCTTAAGGTCACTTTTATTACATTGAAGTGATCCCTAAGACCTGAGGTGGTCTCAAACTCCTCTGTTGCCTGGAGGAATGAGAAAATCAAGCACTTACCATTGATATAGAGGCTCTTGTTGTCCAGGTTATAGATTCCTAATTTGGTGATGCCATTTGTCATGTTCTTTAGTTCTTGGTAAACCTTAGTTTGGTTAAACTTGGGCACTTGGGAACCATCTCCATAGCGGCAGATGGTGTCTACTCCTGTGTTATCCCTATTCTTCATTGACCTGAGGAATTGAATATCATGAGGCTTGTGTTAGTCATTAAAAAAATCTGGGATTTGTGTTTTGTTTTGATTTTTTTTTGTTGGTTTGATTTTCATCAGAAGAAAAAAACCAAACCAAAACCAAACAAAAGATCCCAAAACTCTTAATCTGTCCATGATTCTCAGACGAGCTGCAGAAATCACTGAGATACAGTATTACAAAGAATACCAAGCTTTTGACAAAGGAAAAGAACTGTTATTAAAGTGTTAGCCAAACATAAGGAAATCCATTTTCTTAAGCTGCAAGTTAATCTTTCAGCTATATTGCCTACCTGAATCCTGTTACTTTGCAGCCAGTGAAATAGGGACCAATGCTGCTCTTCTGAAGCAGGGGATCAATCTGACAAGGAAAGATCTTTGTGAGAATGGGAAACCCAAAATACTAGGTGATTTCAATGAAAAACAGTGTGACTTGGGCTTACATAATGTTTCATTATTTTCTCAGTAGAACTGAATTTAGCAGAACTTGGTGTCCTTAGGTCTGTTGTGAACCTGAGGTTGGTTATTGTGAAGTTCAGTGTGAATTGCTCTATTATTGGTCCTGGGCTTTGTGTGGTTGTTGATTTTGCTACTGTAAGAACAAAAAATACACAGATAAAATAAGAGCAAGATCTTTGTAAGACATAATACACTTATTATCTTTCTTCATATTTAGAGCAGAAAAACATATGAACATGATAGCAAACTTTAGACACCCTGCAATCTTATAAGCATTGCCAAACTGAGGGAAACAAAATCAACTTATGCCTCTGAGTAGCTTTAACTTGTATCTGTTTTTAAATATACTTACACGAACTATGCAGCTCATTGTAATCTGAAAAAACAAACGGACAATTATTAGGTATATGCTCAAAGAATATCTCAGCAGGACTAAACAAATGGGGTTTTATCACAGAAGATCAGGAATGGTTACTAAATTCACGACTGTTTTAACTTAGTGATTCGGACAGGGTCTTTTTTTTTCCCTCTATCTGTTTTGAGAGGTGCATTTAACCTTCATTCTCATTTCAAAATACTCTGTGTCAACATATGGAATAGTGCCTTGAGGTGATCTCATTACCATCAATGTAGAGGCTCTGGCTGTTAAGGCTGTAGTGTCCCATCTTGGTGATGCCATTTGTCATATTGCTCAGCTCATGGTAAACTATCACTCTGTTGAACTTGGGATCTGAAGGCTCATCTCTGTAGCTGCAGGTGGCGTCTACTCCTGTGTCATACTTGCTCTTCTTTGACCTAGGAAATGAGGCATTTTTTTTTTAGGATATTTTAGCTATTATTGAGAAGCCCATTTTAACTTTCAGTATATGATCGAACACATATATAAAAAACCCACTTAGATCTGTTGAAAGCTGAGAAATGGAAAGCACCTTTTTAAGAAGCAGGTAATGCAGACTTTTCCCAGACGTGGTTCTTACCTAAATGCCGTTATTTTGCAGCCAATATAAGCAGGGCCAATGCTGCTTTTTTGGAGTAAAGAGTCAACCTAGAAAATGAATAATATTTAAGTAAAATGTCATGAAGAAGTAAGAGATTAGAGCTATTAAGAGAGCTGTGCCCAAGCAGGCCATCATTTTGCCAGACTTACGTAATAATACATGACTTTTTCTGTTGACTTGAATTTTTTAGAGTTTGGCATTGCCAGATCTGCAGTGAACTGGAGGTTGGTTATAGTGAAATTCAATGTGAAGTTCCTTATTGCTGGTGACAGAGGTGGTGTAGTTGAATCAACAGCTGTAACAAGCAAGGCAAATTATTGCTTGAAAACACAATTGATCACCATCATTGCTAGAGGAAACACTGTAAATAAAACTCAGATATTCTAGGGGACTACAGGGTCATAGCAGCTGCAGTTCCCTAATAGGCTCTCAAATTCTCTTAATGCTTTTATAAGTCTAGTAGTGCTCTTCATTAGTCCAACCTTCTTTTCCGGCTATTGCTAACTAGCAAAATCATCTTGCCCTTTCAATTGCTGTTTAAAGGTACTTACACAGTCCAGGCTGAAGTTCGTTATAACCTGTAGGGGAAAGAAAAGACACAGAGTTTGAGAAACTGGCTTACAGGTTGCAAGATCTGGCACACACCAGAATAGAGAACTTGAATTGTTTTTGTCTGAAGGATAGTGTGCAAACATTTACTAGGGAATACTGATGACTTTCTAGGTGTAAATGGACATTGATGCTGTTGCTTTTCTTAGCAGTGTACAGGATTTTCTCTTCCCTAGGGATGTTGAGAAGGAATTTACCTGTTCCTGAAATCCAATTTAACTTTTACATTGACAATTTAAGTATGACTTCGGTGTACTGGTGTCCAGTTCTAGTGTTGTTGTGCAGAGGAGCACATTTTATAGTGCACCCTGGGAGGTCAATCCTTAAGTTTTCTTGAGAGTGACCTGTGGTGTACTATGGTATATTGCATTTGGCTAAGCTGAAAAGAATAACAAAGTGCAAAGGCTTTGAGTGACAGTGGGTCCTCTGCTTTGGTTAACCCTTGTACTTGTTCTTTCTCCAGGTTTTATTGCTTCTGTAGTTATGTAGCATCTCCATTCCTCTTAATATCAAATCAGCAGTCAGAAGATGATTCCCTCCTGACATCAGCTCAGGCACTTACCACTAACATAAAAGCTTGGTGCATCCAGCCTGTATGGTCCTAGCTCAGTGCAGCTGGCTGTCATCTCGCTGAGCTCATGATAAACCTTGATTCGGTCAAATTCAGTAGTGGTAGCGTTGGCTCTGTATGTGCAGACTGCATCCATGGCAGTGCCTTCTCTGTTCTTCACGGACCTGAAAAATCACGTGTTTATGGGCCTGAATGATACTTCTGTGTATTTGATTGAGTTTGCTTTCACACTACTGTGGTATTGGAATACACCTTAAGATACTGTAAAACAGTGTTGTTAAATGAATGATCTCAAATTCTGGAAATTTAGTATTTTGCTGTTTTATACAGTTGTAATTCTAACTGAAATGTATTTAAAATTAGTCAGATTACCCTCTTTATAGAGTACAAAATTGATGTGAAATCAACGCAAGCATAATTAGAGAAGATTATATAATAACTACCCGATACAAGGGATCACAAATGAGGTGGAATTCTACTTGGTACTCATTAGAACTTAACAGTCTCTACTGGTCTAGAAGGAAACAAATCAGGAAGAAACTATATGTAAAGGAAGGATTTGTGCCTAAACCTATTGTCAGCTAAAACTTGATTTGCCCTTGTCTTCTATAAGAGTTCCAGGATGTGCCTACCTTAGTACAACCACTGTACAACCGGTATAGACAGGGCTAAGGCTGCTGTTCTTGAGCACACGGTCAAGCTACCAAAAAAGAAAAGCCAGTTGATAAGTCACAGTGAATAAATAATAAAAGCAAGAATGTAGCCACAGGAAGAACCTGATTGACACTCACCAAGTATGTCAGAGTTTTTTTGGCAGCAATGAATTTTTTGGAGTTTGGATTTCCTAATGCTGATGTGTAGAGGAGATTGGTCACAGTGAAGTTCACTGTGAAATGTCCCTCTCTTGCAAGAGGAGGAGCTGGAGATGCTGCTGCAAGAAAAGCACAAAATTTGTTGCAACAGGAAAAGAAATACTCAAGGACCTGCTAAAGCCAGGGATAAAGAAGCTCCTATCAGGTGGAATGAATGGGTACTATACTGAACAGCTCACTATGGAATGATGATGCCAGCAACAGCATAGAGCATGTGGCTGAGGAGCAGATGAGGGCTATCCAGCTCATCCACATTCCTACCGAAGACCAGTCTTAGATGAGCAGGCTGTAAACAGGTACCTGACCGCTACAGATGAGGAGCTGAGGTAATCTCCTTCTCCCCTTTTATCCTGGTGCATGCAAACCCTGATGTCCTTTAATCACACTGGAAAACGTCTAGCTTTTTCAACCTCAGATTCTTTTCACTTGCAGTGGTGCTATTGGAAAAGACTGAACTGCATGTCAACATCAATTACACTCCAGCCTTCCAAAAGTGCAATTCTGTGTTTCTGCAACCAGGTGTCCTCACACAGTTTCCCCCTATTAATTGTGGTCTAATTGAAATGCTTCATGAGACATGAATAGCAATGGTGCTTAGTAGTTAATTCCTCTCCTTGTTAGATGTTTGTGCTTTATTTTTACTTCTAGTTCCATTCAAAGGTCAAAAAGAGAAAATATCTGGATATCATGATTTAACGCCAGCTAGCAACCAAGTACCATGTTTTCATCTCTATCTTGTATATTGACACATAGCGTATTGTGGCTTTTTAATTACTCAAAGTACTTACAAGGCAAGAGATGGGCTTCATGGTAATCTGAAAGGAGAAAGGACAAAAGTAGTGAACTGAATTGGGTATCTGTATAAGGGAATGATGCCACAGGAGGACAGCAGATTTGCTGTTTCTGAGCAGTCACTGCAACTATTTATGGTAGTGCAGCGAGGTGCTATTGTGAAGAAAGCTCTTGTTGTAAATAGTGGAGAAAGGCTCCAAATTTATATTGAAATTAGTTGCCTTTACTTCTTTTAAGGTTTATGTGCTGCTTTGCATGTTTTGGAAATTTATCAGATATTAAAAAACCCAAAACAAACCTGCAACTGACAAAGCAACACCTCTGAAGGTAAATGTGCTTAGCGTGAGGAGAAGGTGCAAATGATGACACATTGTGAATTACATAGCACATAGGTTGAATCCAAGAATACGTGTTGCAAATGCTATTCCATCTGCACACTAGTCATTACTGTGCTTTAACTACAAGACAGTTATGGACTATTAGGCAAAGAATATCTCCACATTCAGATGGAAATCAGCATTTACCATTAATATACAGGCTTTCCTGGTCAAGGCTGTAGATTCCTAAGTTGGTGATGCCATTTGTCTTGCTGCTCACTTCATGGTAAACAGTCACTCGATCAAACTGGGAAGCAGCAGAATCTATTTTGTAGGCACACACAGCATCTACTCCGGTGCCTTCATTTTTTGGTGCAGGTCTAGGGAAAAAAGGATGGATACTGTTCTGTTCCAGAATTCAATAGTCATGATACATACAGGGTTTTTTAAATTATTATTTAATTCAACCATATTTCCAAGAAGAAGAGAAAATGCAATCTTTTCTCCCCATGAAAGCATACTTGATCTTTCAGATGCTGAAGATATGAATTTAAGTAAACTTAAGAAGACATGGTTGAAAAAAAAAGTAATGATTCCTTGGATTCCTTGAATCAAGTGATAAAAGATGTAGAAGTGAATTAAGGGATTAGGATCCATTTGTGTATTATAGTAGACAAGGAAAAATACATTTTCTAAATCTGAATTATGCTTACCTGAAAGCCATCATTCTGCAGCCTGTATACACAGAATGAATACTAGACTTCTGGAACAGCTGACTGAGCTGAAAAAGAATGAGATCAGAACTTAATCATATTTAGTTGAGCACAACATCACAAAGAAAAACATACATAGAAATATCTCACACTAACCAGAACAGTCAAGACTCTTGCTGTAGCATTAAACTTGGCAGAATATGGATTACTGAGACCACTGGAGTACTGGAGATTTGTTATGGTGAAATTCACTGTGAACTTCCCAGTTCCTGGAGATGCAGCTGTGGCTGGAAGCAAAATCCAGGGAAAAGTGCATAACAGAATGGAATATCTTCATGTTAACTTTATTCTACAGTCAAGGGGTAAAACAATCTTAAGACTTAACATAGATGTATTACATTATTTTGGGGAAAAAAACAAACAACCCACTACCACCGTTAGACAAGGTATGAGAGACGCTGATATTTACATGTGCTGCTACTAGTTTCTATACAAATTATAAACAATTTAATAGATTTACCTGGCAAAACAGGTCTTTCATTGTATTCTGAAAAGCAAAGATCAAAGATAAAAAAAATATAAGAGAGGAAAAATAAAACCCAAAAATTTTAATAAAAAAAAAAAAAGGAGAAAAAGTTAGTAATTAAAATAAGTGTAAAAAAATAAGTATAATCCAACAACATTAATGATCTTATTTTAACACAAAAAGGAATAAGGAAAAATGTGCCAGTATGAGGCATAACCTAAAAAGCTGTGAGAAAAAGAATTCAAGACCCTGTGGACACAAACCACAAAATCTTAAAAAAGAAGAGTTCCTTGATACTTGAATATATAAAGAAATTACCTCAAAACAGAAAAAAAAAACAGTATTAAGAAAACAAACACCCCCACCCCCAAACACAACAACAACAACAAAACAACAAAAAACCAACAAAACCATAAAAGAAAAATACAAAAAAGACAAAATAGGTTCACCATTGACATAGAGGCTGCCCTTGTCCAGGCTGTAGGGACCCAGCTGCGTGATGCCTTTGGTCGTGTTGCTCACTTGGTGGTAGAGGCCCACCCTGTCCAAGGTTGGGTCTGAGGGCTCCTTTCTGTACGTGCAGATGGCGTCCACTCTTGTGCCATCCCCTTGCGTCATGGGCCTGGAAAATACAGCACTGGCATGAGCACCCTCCTCAGTACTCTCTCACTGCAAGGCCAAGCCTTGGGGCTTCTGCATCCATCCTTGTTTGGGAATCAGATCTCTGCCTTCATAGACTATGTGTGCATGGTGGCCACCTACTGCTCTCTGCCTGGGCTAACTATTTGGGGCTGTTAAGGATGGAGATGGCCAAGAAGAGCTTTACACTTCTTGGGACAACGCTGGCCATCGCCAAGGTGAGAGGACCAAATGACAGGATATGACCTAAACTAGAAGAGCATCAGGGAATGAGCTCTAAAGCAGGAGAGCATCAGTGAGCACACCTGGACTCCTAAGTAGAGGCAGGAAGAGGGAAAGATACTGATGGGCCCCATCATCAGATCTTGGGACATGCAAAGGCACACTCAGCCACACTCCAAACCTGAAAGCTGTCTTTGCACATCCCAGGAACGCGGGGCCAATGCTGCTTCCCTGCAGGAGCCGGTTGAGCTGCCAAAAAGAGAGGTTTCGCAGTTGAGACAATGTAATTTCCTTACACTCTGTTCAAGTTTAGGGGGCTGCCTGGGGCACAGCCATTGCTGTGCATGCACCGCTTACCAAGGTGGTCATGACTCTCCTTGTAGTGTTGAACTTTGCTGATCCCGGAGTGGCTAGGTCAGAATTGTAGGGGAGATTGGTGATGGTGAAGTTGATGGTGAAATGGTCGAGGGCTGCAGGTGTCGTTGGTGCATGGTTGGGAGCTGCAAGAAGCACAGGCAGAGAGTGACAAGGTGCAAGATCAAGGATGTCAAAGCTCTGCCTAGGAAATGCAGAGGTCTCCTGCCCAGCACCCCTCCCTCCTGGCCCTGGTCTTGATGGGGATTTGTCGAGCTCCCTGCTTCTCCCAGAGATCACAAGCCCGGCCCTGTATTGGCCTTTCCCTAGGAGAAGAGCCCTTTGAAGCACTTGGTGCATTCTGAGCCCAGCCCGCTCCAGCAAGGCACTCACCAGGCAGGACTGGCTGTTCATTGTAACCTGGAAAAAAGAGAGAGAGATTGAGAGAGGGTCAGTGCCTGCAGCCTGGTTATGGTACGGGCTGGGGATGGCTGCAGAGAGGAGCATAGGTCACCGTTGACGTAGAGGCTGTCCTTGTCCAGGCTGTAGGGACCCAGCTGCGTGATGCCTTTCGTCTTGTTGCTCACTTGGTGGTAGAGGCCCACCCTGTCCAAGGTCGGGTCCGAGGGCTCCTTTCTGTATGTGCAGACGGCGTCCACTCTTGTGCCATCCCCTTGCGTCATGGGCCTGGAAAATACAGCACTGACGTGAGCACCCTCCTCAGTACTCTCTCACTGCAAGGCCAAGTCTTGGGGCTTCCGTATCCATCCTTGTTTGGGAATCAGATCTCTGCCTTCATAAACTATGTGTGCATGGTGACCACGTACTGCTCTCTGCCTGTGTTAACTGTTTGGGGCTGTTAAGGATGGAGATGGCCAAGAAGAGCTTTACACTTCTTGGGACAACACTGTCACTGGCCAAGGTGAGAGGACCAAATGACAGGATATGACCTAAACCAGAAGAGCATCAGGGAATGTGCTCTAAAGCAGGAGAGCATCAGGGAGCACACCTGGACTCCTAAGTAGAGGCAGGAAGAGGGAAAGATACTGATGGGCCCCATCATCAGATCTTGGGACATGCAAAGGCACACTCAGCCACACTCCAAACCTGAAAGCTGTCTTTGCACATCCCAGGAACGCGGGGCCAATGCTGCTTCCCTGCAGGAGCCGGTTGAGCTGCCAAAAAGAGAGGTTTCGCAGTTGAGACAATGTAATTTCCTTACACTCTGTTCAAGTTTAGGGGGCTCTTAGAGGCACAGCCATTGCTGTGCATGCACCGCTTACCAAGGTGGTCATGACTCTCCTTGTAGTGTTGAACTTTGCTGATCCCGGAGTGGCTAGGTCAGAATTGTAGGGGAGATTGGTGATGGTGAAGTTGATGGTGAAATGGTCGAGGGCTGCAGGTGTCGTTGGTGCATGGCTGGGAGCTGCAAGAAGCACAGGCAGAGAGTGACAATGTGCAAGAGCAAGGATGTCAAAGCTCTGCCTGGGAAAGGCAGAGGTCTCCTGCCCAGCACCCCTCCCTCCTGGCCCTGGTCTTGATGGGGATTTGCCTGGCTCCCTGCTTCCCCCAGAGATCACAAGCCCTGCCATATATTGGCCTTTCCCTAGCAGAAGAGCCCTTTGAAGCACTTGGTGCCTTCTGAGAGCAGCATCCTCCAGCAAGGCACTCACCAGGCAGGACTGGCTGTTCATTGTAACCTGGAGAAACAGAAAGAGATTGAGAGAGGGTCAGTGGCTGGAGCCTGGTTATGGTACGGGCCAGGGATGGCTTCAGAGAGGAGCATAGGTCACCGTTAACGTAGAGGCTGTCCTTGTCCAGGCTGTAGGGACCCAGCTGCTTGATGCCTCTGGTCTTGTTGCTCACTTGGTGGTAGAGGCCCACCCTGTCCAAGGTCGGATCTGAGGGCTCCTTTCTGTACGTGCAGACGGCGTCCACTCTTGTGTCATTCACTTGTACCGTAGGCCTGGAAAACACAGCACTGACATGAAGACCCTCCTCTGCACTTTGTCACCCAATATCTGCCAGAACTTGGGCCTTGCACAGCCATCTTTGCTTGGGAATTCTATCTCTACTTTCATAAGCTATGTGTTCATGGTGGCCAGGTACTGCTCCCAACCTGTACTAATGCCCAGAAGCTGTTGAGGAATCACAACGCCAGGTAGCGCATTGGTTCACCCTATTGCTTTACTCTTAGTGCCGTGAGGCAAGAAGGCAAGGTGCAATGGTACAGCTTAAGACAGGATGGAATCAGAGAGTGGGACCTAAACCGGGAGAGTGTTTGTAAGAAGAATCCTCCCAGTCAGTTCAGCCAGAAACAGAGCATGAGCTTGATGGGCCCCATCACCTGACTTGGTGGGACAGGCAAAAGGACACCGAGTCATGTTCCAAACCTGAAAGCTTTCGTTTCACATCCAAGGAAAGCGGGGCCAATGCTGGTTCCCTGCAGAAGCTGGTCAAGCTGCCGAGAAGAGAGGTTTCACAGTTAAGACAATGCCAACTCCTTACAATCCCTTCAAGTTTATGGGGCTGCCAGGGGCACTGCCATTGCTGTGCATGCGACACTCACCAAGTTGTTCATGACTCTCCTTGTAGTGTTGAACTTTGCTGATCCCGGAGTGGCTAGGTCAGAATTGTAGGGGAGATTGGTGATGGTGAAGTTGATGGTGAAATGGTCGAGGGCTGCAGGTGTCGTTGGTGCATGGCTGGGAGCTGCAAGAAGCACAGCAGGGAGTGACAAGGTGCAAGAACAAGGATGTCAAAGCTCTCTGTGGCAAATGCAGAGGTCTCTGCCCATCCCCCCTCCTTCCCAGCCCTGGTCTTGATGGGGATCTGTCAGGCTCCCTGCTTCTCTCAGTCATCACAAGCCCTGCCCTACATTGGCCTCTAGCCTTTGAAGCCCCTCATGGTGCACTTGGTGCATTCTGAGCCCAGCCCGCTCCAGCAAGGCACTCACCAGGCAGGACTGGCTGTTCATTGTAACCTGGAAAAAAGGAGAGAGAGATTGAGAGAGGGTCAGTGCCTGCAGCCTGGTTATGGTACGGGCCAGGGATGGCTTCAGAGAGGAGCATAGGTCACCGTTGACGTAGAGGCTGTCCTTGTCCAGGCTGTAGGGACCCAGCTGCGTGATGCCTTTGGTCTTGTTGCTCACTTGGTGGTAGAGGCCCACCCTGTCCAAGGTCGGGTCCGAGGGCTCCTTTCTGTATGTGCAGACGGCGTCCACTCTTGTGCCATCCCCTTGCGTCATGGGCCTGGAAAATACAGCACTGACGTGAGCACCCTCCTCAGTACTCTCTCACTGCAAGGCCAAGTCTTGGGGCTTCCGTATCCATCCTTGTTTGGGAATCAGATCTCTGCCTTCATAAACTATGTGTGCATGGTGGCCACATACTGCTCTCTGCCTGTGTTAACTATCTGGGGCTGTTAAGGATGGAGATGGCCAAGAAGAGCTTTACACTTCTTGGGACAACGCTGGCCATCGCCAAGGTGAGAGGACCAAATGACAGGATATGACCTAAACTAGAAGAGCATCAGGGAATGCGCTCTAAAGCAGGAGAGCATCAGGGAGCACACCTGGACTCCTAAGTAGAGGCAGGAAGAGGGAAAGATACTGATGGGCCCCATCATCAGATCTTGGGACATGCAAAGGCACACTCAGCCACACTCCAAACCTGAAAGCTGTCTTTGCACATCCCAGGAACGCGGGGCCAATGCTGCTTCCCTGCAGGAGCCGGTTGAGCTGCCAAAAAGAGAGGTTTCGCAGTTGAGACAATGTAATTTCCTTACACTCTGTTCAAGTTTAGGGGGCTGCCTGGGGCACAGCCATTGCTGTGCATGCACCGCTTACCAAGGTGGTCATGACTCTCCTTGTAGTGTTGAACTTTGCTGATCCCGGAGTGGCTAGGTCAGAATTGTAGGGGAGATTGGTGATGGTGAAGTTGATGGTGAAATGGTCGAGGGCTGCAGGTGTCGTTGGTGCATGGGTGGGAGCTGCAAGAAGCACAGGCAGAGAGTGACAAGGTGCAAGATCAAGGATGTCAAAGCTCTGCCTGGGAAATGCAGAGGTCTCCTGCCCAGCACCCCTCCCTCCTGGCCCTGGTCTTGATGGGGATTTGTCGAGCTCCCTGCTTCTCCCAGAGATCACAAGCCCTGCCCTGTATTGGCCTTTCCCTAGGAGAAGAGCCCTTTGAAGCACTTGGTGCATTCTGAGCCCAGCCCGCTCCAGCAAGGCACTCACCAGGCAGGACTGGCTGTTCATTGTAACCTGGAAAAAAGAGAGAGAGATTGAGAGAGGGTCAGTGCCTGCAGCCTGGTTATGGTACGGGCTGGGGATGGCTGCAGAGAGGAGCATAGGTCACCGTTGACGTAGAGGCTGTCCTTGTCCAGGCTGTAGGGACCCAGCTGCGTGATGCCTTTCGTCTTGTTGCTCACTTGGTGGTAGAGGCCCACCCTGTCCAAGGTCGGGTCCGAGGGCTCCTTTCTGTATGTGCAGACGGCGTCCACTCTTGTGCCATCCCCTTGCGTCATGGGCCTGGAAAATACAGCACTGACGTGAGCACCCTCCTCAGTACTCTCTCACTGCAAGGCCAAGTCTTGGGGCTTCCGTATCCATCCTTGTTTGGGAATCAGATCTCTGCCTTCATAAACTATGTGTGCATGGTGACCACATACTGCTCTCTGCCTGTGTTAAATCTTTGGGGCTGTTAAGGATGGAGATGGCCAAGAAGAGCTTTACACTTCTTGGGACAACACTGTCACTGGCCAAGGTGAGAGGACCAAATGACAGGATATGACCTAAACCAGAAGAGCATCAGGGAATGTGCTCTAAAGCAGGAGAGCATCAGGGAGCACACCTGGACTCCTAAGTAGAGGCAGGAAGAGGGAAAGATACTGATGGGCCCCATCATCAGTTCTTGGGACATGCAAAGGCACACTCAGCCACACTCCAAACCTGAAAGCTGTCTTTGCACATCCCAGGAACGCGGGGCCAATGCTGCTTCCCTGCAGGAGCCGGTTGAGCTGCCAAAAAGAGAGGTTTCGCAGTTGAGACAATGTAATTTCCTTACACTCTGTTCAAGTTTAGGGGGCTGCCTGGGGCACAGCCATTGCTGTGCATGCACCGCTTACCAAGGTGGTCATGACTCTCCTTGTAGTGTTGAACTTTGCTGATCCCGGAGTGGCTAGGTCAGAATTGTAGGGGAGATTGGTGATGGTGAAGTTGATGGTGAAATGGTCGAGGGCTGCAGGTGTCGTTGGTGCATGGGTGGGAGCTGCAAGAAGCACAGGCAGAGAGTGACAAGGTGCAAGATCAAGGATGTCAAAGCTCTGCCTGGGAAATGCAGAGGTCTCCTGCCCAGCACCCCTCCCTCCTGGCCCTGGTCTTGATGGGGATTTGTCGAGCTCCCTGCTTCTCCCAGAGATCACAAGCCCTGTCCTGTATTGGCCTTTCCCTAGGAGAAGAGCCCTTTGAAGCACTTGGTGCCTTCTGAGAGCAGCATCCTCCAGCAAGGCACTCACCAGGCAGGACTGGCTGTTCATTGTAACCTGGAAAAAAGGAGAGAGAGATTGAAAGAGGGTCAGTGGCTGGAGCCTGGTTATGGTACGGGCTGGGGATGGCTTCAGAGAGGAGCATAGGTCACCGTTAACGTAGAGGCTGTCCTTGTCCAGGCTGTAGGGACCCAGCTGCTTGATGCCTCTGGTCTTGTTGCTCACTTGGTGGTAGAGGCCCACCCTGTCCAAGGTCGGATCTGAGGGCTCCTTTCTGTACGTGCAGACGGCGTCCACTCTTGTGTCATTCACTTGTACCGTAGGCCTGGAAAACACAGCACTGACATGAACCCCCTCCTCTGCACTTTGTCACCCAATATCTGCCAGAACTTGGGCCTTGCACAGCCATCTTTGCTTGGGAATTCTATCTCTACTTTCATAAGCTATGTGTTCATGGTGGCCAGGTACTGCTCCCAACCTGTACTAATGCCCAGAAGCTGTTGAGGAATCACAACGCCAGGTAGCGCATTGGTTCACCCTGTTGCTTTACTCTTAGTGCCGTGAGGCAAGAAGGCAAGGTGCAATGGTACAGCTTAAGACAGGATGGAATCAGAGAGTGGGACCTAAACCGGGAGAGTGTTTGTAAGAAGAATCCTCCCAGTCAGTTCAGCCAGAAACAGAGCATGAGCTTGATGGGCCCCATCACCTGATTGTGGGACAGGCAAAAGGACACCGAGTCATGTTCCAAACCTGAAAGCTTTCGTTTCACATCCAAGGAAAGCGGGGCCAATGCTGGTTCCCTGCAGAAGCTGGTCAAGCTGCCGAGAAGAGAGGTTTCACAGTTAAGACAATGCCAACTCCTTACAATCCCTTCAAGTTTATGGGGCTGCCAGGGGCACTGCCATTGCTGTGCATGCGACACTCACCAAGTTGTTCATGACTCTCCTTGTAGTGTTGAACTTTGCTGATCCCGGAGTGGCTAGGTCAGAATTGTAGGGGAGATTGGTGATGGTGAAGTTGATGGTGAAATGGTCGAGGGCTGCAGGTGTCGTTGGTGCATGGCTGGGAGCTGCAAGAAGCACAGCAGGGAGTGACAAGGTGCAAGAACAAGGATGTCAAAGCTCTCTGTGGCAAATGCAGAGGTCTCTGCCCATCCCCCCTCCTTCCCAGCCCTGGTCTTGATGGGGATCTGTCAGGCTCCCTGCTTCTCTCAGTCATCACAAGCCCTGCCCTACATTGGCCTCTAGCCTTTGAAGCCCCTCATGGTGCACTTGGTGCATTCTGAGCCCAGCCCGCTCCAGCAAGGCACTCACCAGGCAGGACTGGCTGTTCATTGTAACCTGGAAAAAAGGAGAGAGAGATTGAGAGAGGGTCAGTGCCTGCAGCCTGGTTATGGTACGGGCCAGGGATGGCTTCAGAGAGGAGCATAGGTCACCGTTGACGTAGAGGCTGTCCTTGTCCAGGCTGTAGGGACCCAGCTGCGTGATGCCTTTGGTCTTGTTGCTCACTTGGTGGTAGAGGCCCACCCTGTCCAAGGTCGGGTCCGAGGGCTCCTTTCTGTATGTGCAGACGGCGTCCACTCTTGTGCCATCCCCTTGTTTCATGGGCCTGGAAGATACAGCACTGACGTGAGCACCCTCCTCAGTACTCTCTCACTGCAAGGCCAAGTCTTGGGGCTTCCGTATCCATCCTTGTTTGGGAATCAGATCTCTGCCTTCATAAACTATGTGTGCATGGTGGCCACATACTGCTCTCTGCCTGTGTTAACTATCTGGGGCTGTTAAGGATGGAGATGGCCAAGAAGAGCTTTACACTTCTTGGGACAACACTGTCACTGGCCAAGGTGAGAGGACCAAATGACAGGATATGACCTAAACTAGAAGAGCATCAGGGAATGCGCTCTAAAGCAGGAGAGCATCAGGAGCACACCTGGACTCCTAAGTAGAGGCAGGAAGAGGGAAAGATACTGATGGGCCCCATCATCAGATCTTGGGACATGCAAAGGCACACTCAGCCACACTCCAAACCTGAAAGCTGTCTTTGCACATCCCAGGAACGCGGGGCCAATGCTGCTTCCCTGCAGGAGCCGGTTGAGCTGCCAAAAAGAGAGGTTTCGCAGTTGAGACAATGTAATTTCCTTACACTCTGTTCAAGTTTAGGGGGCTGCCTGGGGCACAGCCATTGCTGTGCATGCACCGCTTACCAAGGTGGTCATGACTCTCCTTGTAGTGTTGAACTTTGCTGATCCCGGAGTGGCTAGGTCAGAATTGTAGGGGAGATTGGTGATGGTGAAGTTGATGGTGAAATGGTCGAGGGCTGCAGGTGTCGTTGGTGCATGGGTGGGAGCTGCAAGAAGCACAGGCAGAGAGTGACAAGGTGCAAGATCAAGGATGTCAAAGCTCTGCCTGGGAAATGCAGAGGTCTCCTGCCCAGCACCCCTCCCTCCTGGCCCTGGTCTTGATGGGGATTTGCCTGGCTCCCTGCTTCTCCCAGAGATCACAAGCCCTGCCCTGTATTGGCCTTTCCCTAGCAGAAGAGCCCTTTCAAGCACTTGGTGCATTCTGAGCCCAGCCCACTCCAGCAAGGCACTCACCAGGCAGGACTGGCTGTTCATTGTAACCTGGAAAAAAGAGAGAGAGATTGAGAGAGGGTCAGTGCCTGCAGCCTGGTTATGGTACGGGCTGGGGATGGCTTCAGAGAGGAGCATAGGTCACCGTTGACGTAGAGACTGTCCTTGTCCAGGCTGTAGGGACCCAGCTGCATGATGCCTTTGGTCTTGTTGCTCACTTGGTGGTAGAGGCTCACCCTGTCCAAGGTCGGGTCTGAGGGCTCCTTTCTGTATGTGCAGACGGCGTCCACTCTTGTGCCATCCCCTTGCGTCATGGGCCTGGAAAATACAGCACTGACGTGAGCACCCTCCTCAGTACTCTCTCACTGCAAGGCCAAGTCTTGGGGCTTCCGTATCCATCCTTGTTTGGGAATCAGATCTCTGCCTTCATAAACTATGTGTGCATGGTGACCACGTACTGCTCTCTGCCTGTGTTAACTGTTTGGGGCTGTTAAGGATGGAGATGGCCAAGAAGAGCTTTACACTTCTTGGGACAACACTGTCACTGGCCAAGGTGAGAGGACCAAATGACAGGATATGACCTAAACTAGAAGAGCATCAGGGAATGTGCTCTAAAGCAGGAGAGCACCAGGGAGCACACCTGGACTCCTAAGTAGAGGCAGGAAGAGGGAAAGATACTGATGGGCCCCATCATCAGATCTTGGGACATGCAAAGGCACACTCAGCCACACTCCAAACCTGAAAGCTGTCTTTGCACATCCCAGGAACGCGGGGCCAATGCTGCTTCCCTGCAGGAGCCGGTTGAGCTGCCAAAAAGAGAGGTTTCGCAGTTGAGACAATGTAATTTCCTTACACTCTGTTCAAGTTTAGGGGGCTCCTGGGGCACAGCCATTGCTGTGCATGCACCGCTTACCAAGGTGGTCATGACTCTCCTTGTAGTGTTGAACTTTGCTGATCCCGGAGTGGCTAGGTCAGAATTGTAGGGGAGATTGGTGATGGTGAAGTTGATGGTGAAATGGTCGAGGGCTGCAGGTGTCGCTGGTGCATGGCTGGGAGCTGTAAGAAGCACAGCAGGGAGTGACAAGTTGCAAGATCAAGGATGTCAAAGCTCTGCCTGGGAAAGGCAGAGGTCTCCTGCCCAGCACCCCACCCTCCTGGCCCTGGTCTTGATGGGGATTTGCCTGGCTCCCTGCTTCTCCCAGAGATCACAAGCCCTGCCCTGTATTGGCCTTTCCCTAGCAGAAGAGCCCTTTCAAGCACTTGGTGCATGCTGAGCCCAGCCCGCTCCAGCAAGGCACTCACCAGGCAGGACTGGCTGTTCATTGTAACCTGGAAAAAAGAGAAAGAGATTGAGAGAGGGTCAGTGGCTGGAGCCTGGTTATGGTACGGGCCAGGGATGGCTTCAGAGAGGAGCATAGGTCACCGTTGACGTAGAGGCTGTCCTTGTCCAGGCTGTAGGGACCCAGCTGCATGATGCCTTTGGTCTTGTTGCTCACTTGGTGGTAGAGGCTCACCCTGTCCAAGGTCGGGTCTGAGGGCTCCTTTCTATACGTGCAGACGGCGTCCACTCTTGTGCTATCCCCTTGCATCACGGGCCTGGGAAACATAGCACTGACGTGAGCACCCTTCTCTGTACTCTCACTGCATGGCCATGCCTTGGGGCTTCCGTATCCATCCTTGTTTGGGAATCAGATCTCTGCCTTCATAAACTATGTGTGCATGGTGACCACGTACTGCTCTCTGCCTGTGTTAACTGTTTGGGGCTGTTAAGGATGGAGATGGCCAAGAAGAGCTTTACACTTCTTGGGACAACACTGTCACTGGCCAAGGTGAGAGGACCAAATGACAGGATATGACCTAAACTAGAAGAGCATCAGGGAATGAGCTCTAAAGCAGGAGAGCATCAGTGAGCACACCTGGACTCCTAAGTAGAGGCAGGAAGAGGGAAAGATACTGATGGGCCCCATCATCAGATCTTGGGACATGCAAAGGCACACTCAGCCACACTCCAAACCTGAAAGCTGTCTTTGCACATCCCAGGAACGCGGGGCCAATGCTGCTTCCCTGCAGGAGCCGGTTGAGCTGCCAAAAAGAGAGGTTTCGCAGTTGAGACAATGTAATTTCCTTACACTCTGTTCAAGTTTAGGGGGCTGCCTGGGGCACAGCCATTGCTGTGCATGCACCGCTTACCAAGGTGGTCATGACTCTCCTTGTAGTGTTGAACTTTGCTGATCCCGGAGTGGCTAGGTCAGAATTGTAGGGGAGATTGGTGATGGTGAAGTTGATGGTGAAATGGTCGAGGGCTGCAGGTGTCGTTGGTGCATGGCTGGGAGCTGTAAGAATCACAGGCAGAGAGTGACAAGGTGCAAGAACAAGGATGTCAAAGCTCTCTGTGGCAAAGGCAGAGGTCTCTGCCGATCTCCCCTCCTTCCCAGCCCTGGTCTTGATGGGGATCTTTCAGGCTCCCTGCTTCTCTCAGTCGTCACAAGCCCTGCCCTACACTGGCCTCTAGCCTTTGAAGCCCCTCATGGTGCGCTTGGTGCCTTCTGAGCCCAGCACCTCCTGCAAGTTACTCACCAGGAAGGACTGGCTGTTCATTGTAACCTGGAACAAAGAGAGAGAGATTGAGAGAGGGTCAGTGGCTGGAGCCTGGTTATGGTATGTTTCGGGGATGGCTTCAGAGAGGAGCATAGGTCACCGTTAACGTAGAGGCTGTCCTTGTCCAGGCTGTAGGGACCCAGCTGCGTGATGCCTCTGGTCTTGTTGCTCACTTGGTGGTAGAGGCCCACCCTGTCCAAGGTCGGGTCTGAGGGCTCCTTTCTATACGTGCAGACGGCGTCCACTCTTGTGTTATCAGCTTGTGTCACGGGCCTGGAAAACACATCACTGACGTGAACACCCTCCTCTGTACCCTGTTGCTGTACTGCCAGACCTTGGGGCTTCCACAGTCATCCGTGCTTGTCAATCACGTCTCTGCTTTCATAGCCTACGTGTGCATGGTGGCCAAGTACTGCTTTCTTAATGTGATAGCACCGTGAAGATGTTGAGGAATCACAATGCTATGTAGGTCTTTAGTTCATCTTGTTACTTTACTCTCAGTGCCGTGAGGCAAGAAGGCAAAATGCACATGTATGACATAAGACAGGATGGAATCAGAGAGTGGGACCTAAAGCATGAGCATGTCTAGGAGAAGAATCCTCCCAGCTGATCCAGGCAGAAACAGAGCATGAGCTTGATGGGACCCATCATCTGATTGTGGGACAGGCAAAAGGACACCGAGTCATATTCCAAACCTGAAAGCTTTTGTTTTGCATCCAAGGAGAGTGGGGCCAATGCTGGTTCCCTGCAGAAGCTGGTCAAGCTGCCAAGAAGAGAGGTTTCACAGTTAAGAAAATGCCATCTCCTTACAATCCCTTCCAGTTTATGGGGCTGCCAGGGGCAGTCATTGCTGTGCATGCACCGCTTACCAAGGTGTTCATGACTCTCCTTGTAGTGTTGAACTTTGCTGATTCCGGAGTGGCTAGGTCAGAATTGTAGGGGAGATTGGTGATGGTGAAGTTGATGGTGAAATGCTCGAGGGCTGCAGGTGTCGTTGGTGCATGGCTGGGAGCTGCAAGAAGCACAGGCAGGGAGTGACAAGGTGCAAGAGCAAGAATGCCAAAGCTCTGCATGGCAAACACAGAGGTTTCTCATAATTACACCTGCTATTTGGCTCTGTTCTATTTTTATAGAAACTGGCTGTCCAAATCATTTATTTTCACGTGGTCTTTGTTCAGAATTTAATAATTGATACAATACTTTCTATTTTAAGTATATATTTTATATTGTATTTATATCTTTAAACAACATTGCTCTGTGTATTTTTTTAAATGTCTCCATTATACGAATGTGTATGGTTAATTTTTAGTTTCACGAATAGGAGACATTATCTGCTTCGTCTTTTATTTCCTCTCAACTTAGAAATTTGGTTTGATTTTCAGTGTTCATGAAGTATTTCCCAATAGAAATCAGGAAGTCTAGAATCATGCTATGAAATGAGAGGCACTTTCTAAATAATACTAATAAAATAAGGGTTTGTAATTAACATCCTTTCTTAAGGGAGCAGGGTACTTCTAAAAGAAAAATAACTAAAAATATTTTGCATACTGACATGTTGAAAACAGGATTAATGGTAGATTGATAATAGTGAAACTTAAGAATTCTTCAGTGTGATACGTTTACAATTATAAGAAGTTGCTACTTTGACTTGACTTACTTGTTTTTGGAGTACTACTAACAGTGACTCCGGCCAGTGTTTCAGAATACACAGTAGTTGTGAGATCAGAAAAAGAAATGAAAGACTTCTCTGTTGTTGTAGCTGTGTGAGTGACAAGGGCAGCAGTGGATGGTCCGGAGAGGATGGAAGTCAGAGTAGCAGTCGTTTCAGCAGCTGGGATGCCTGTTTGTGTGGAGGAGAGGAATGCGGAGGTTGAATCAGGAACAAATGTATACGCCTGAGTGGAAGAGCTTGAAACCCCAGTTTCAGAAGGAGATGTAGATGTGATGGCAATGGTGGAGATTTCCTTCACAGTGGTGGTGCCCACAATGGTGCCATCAAGGGTAGACTTCCCTCTACTTGTAGAATTGGAGCTTGTTGACTGGGGGGAGGTGAGTGAAGATGTGGACCAAGATGAGGAAATGCTATCCACAGGCGTGCTAAGAATAACAGATGAGCTTGTTCCCATGCTGCTGGAGAACAGTGAGGAGGTTATCTCTAATGCAGAGGTTTCTGTTTGAGTTGAAGAGACCAAAGTTGTAGTGTCAGGAGGAGATGTTGCAGGGGAGACAATGGTGTAGTTTTCCTGCATGGTGGTTGCGGCGATCACAGTGCTTTCCTCCAGGGTGGATGCACCATTCCTGGTAGACTGGGAGGTTCTTGGAAAAGAGGAAATGGGTGTAGAAGTTGCCAAAGTTCTAGGACCAGAGGAGGATGATGTTACAAGGACTGTGGTGGGAAAATCAGTTATCTGTGCAGTTGTGGAGGTGAGAGCGGAAGCAGAAGTTGTTCCAGCTGTGCTGGGAGTGACTGCAGTGGTTGTTTGAGCTGCTGGGCTCGTTGTTGCCGTCTTGCTGGAGAACAGGGTGGAAGTTATCTCTAAAGCAGAGGTTTGTGCTTGAGTCAAAGAGGGTAAAGCTGTAGTTTCTGAAAGAGATGTGGCCGTGGAGGAGGTGGTTTCATTTTCCTGCATGGTTGTTGTGGCGATCAAAGTGCTTTTCTCCAGGGTGGATGCACCCCTGCTAGTAGCACTAGATTTTGTTGGAAAAGTTAAAGTGGATGTAGAAGTTGTCAAAGCTGTGTAAATGTTCTCCTCAGATGTGCTCAGAAGAGGGGATGTGGTGGCTGTAGTTGGGCTTGAGACTGGAGCAGAGGAGGATGAAGTTACAAGGACTGTGGTGGGGGATTCTGTTATCTGTGCAGTTGTGGAGGTGACAGCGGAAGCAGAAGTTGTTCCAGCTGTGCTGGGAGTGACTGCAGTGGTTGTTTGAGCTGCTGGGTTCGTTCTTGCTGTGCTGCTAGAGATCACGTAGGAGGTTGTCTCGAAAGCAGAGCTTTGTGCTTGAGTCGAAGAGGGTAAAGCTGTAGTTTCTGAAAGAGATGTGGCTGTGGAGAATGTGGCGTCATTTTCCTGCGTAGTTGTTGTGGCAATTACAGTGCTTTCCTCCAGGGTGGATGCTCTCGGGCTGGTAGCAGAAGAGGCTGTTGAGAGAGAGGAAATGAGTGTCGAAGTTGTCAAAATTGTGGAAATATTCTCGGATGTGCTCAGAAGAGATGCTGTGGTGGCTGTAGTTGGACTTGTGGCTGTAGCAGAAGACGATGATGTTACAAGGACTGTGGTGGGTGATTCTGTTATCTGTGGAGTTGTGGAGGTGACAACAGAAGCAGATGTTCCAGCTGTGCTGGGAGTGATTGCAGTGGTTGTTTGAGCTGCTGCGCTCGTTGTTGACCTGCTGCTGGACATCAGGGAGGAGGTTATTTCTAAAGCAAAGGTTTGTGCTGGAGTCGAAGAAAGTAAAGCTGTAGTTTCTGGAGGAGATGTGTTTGTGGAGACGGTGGTGTCCTTTTCCTTCCTGGTTGTTGTGGTGATTACAGTGCTTTCCTCCAGGGTGGATGCTCTCGGGCTGGTAGCAGTGGAGGCTGTTGACAGAGAGGAAATGGGTGTAGAAGTTGTGAAAGTTGTGGAAATATTCTCGGGTGTGCTCAGAAGAGATGATGTGGTGGCTGTAGTTGGGCCCGAGGCTGGAGCAGAGGAGGATGATGATACAAGGACTGTGCTGGGGGATTCTGTTATCTGTGCAGTTGTGGAGATTACAGCAGAAGCAGAAGATGTTCCATCTGTGCTGGGATTGACTGCAACGGTTGTTTGAGCTGCTGGGCTCGTTGTTGCTGTGCTGCTAGAGACCATGTAGGAGGTTGTCTCGAAAGCAGAGCTTTGTGCTTGAGTCGAAGAGGGTAAAGCTGTAGTTTCTGAAAGAGATGTGGCCGTGGAGGAGGTGGTGTCATTTTCCTGCGTAGTTGTTGTGGCGATCACAGTGCTTTCCTCCAGGGTGGATGCACCCCTGCTAGTAGCACTAGATTTTGTTGGAAAAGATGAAGTGGATGTAGAAGCTGTCAAAGTTGCGGAAATATTCTCGGATGTGCTCAGAAGAGATGATGTGGTGGCTGTAGTTGGGCTTGGGACTGGAGCAGAGGAAGATGAAGTTACAAGGACTGTGGTGGGCGAATCTGTTATCAGTGTTGTTGTGGAGGTGACAGCAGAAGCAGAAGAGGTTTCATCTGTGCTGGGAGTGACTGCGGTGGTTGTTTGAGTTGCTGGGCTCGTTGTTGCTGTGCTGCTAGAGATCATGTAGGAGGTTGTCTCAAAAGCAGAGCTTTGTGCTTGAGTCGAAGAGGGTAAAGCTGTAGTTTCTGAAAGAGATGTGGACGTGGAGAAGGTGGTGTCATTTTCCTGCGTGGTTGTTGTGGCGATTACAGTGCTTTCCTCCAGGGTGGATGCTCTCGGGCTGGTAGCAGTGGAGGCTGTTGACAGAGAGGAAATGAGTGTCGAAGTTGTCAAAGTTGTGGAAATATTCTCGGATGTGCTCAGAAGAGATGATGTGGTGGCTGTAGTTGGGCTTGTGGCTGGAGCAGAGGAGGATGAAGTTACAAGGACTGTGGTGGGTGATTCTGTTATCTGTGGAGTTGTGGAGGTGACAGCGGAAGCAGAAGTTGTTCCAGCTGGGCTGGGAGGGACTGCAGTGGTTGTTTGAGCTGCTGTGCTCGTTGTTCCTGTGCTGCTGGAGATCAGGGAGGAGGTTTTCTCAAAAGCAGAGCTTTGTGCTTGAGTCGAAGAGGGTAAAGCTGTAGTTTCTGGAGGAGATGTGTTCGTAGAGACGGTGGTGTAGTCTTCCTGCATGGTGGTTGTGGCGATCACAGTGCTTTCCTCCATGGTGGATGCACCCCTGCTGGTAGCACTAGATTTTGTTGAAAAAGATGAAGTGGATGTAGAAGTTGTCAAGGTTGTGGAAATGTTCTCCTCAGATGTGCTCAGAAGAGATGATGTGGTGGCTGTAGTTGGGCTTGGGACTGGAGCAGAGGAGGATGATCTTACAAGGACTGTGGTCGGCGAATCTGTTATCTGTGCAGTTGTGGAGGTGACAGCAGAAGCAGAAGATGTTCCATCTGTGCTGGGATTGACTGCAGTGGTTGATTGAGCTGCTGAGCTCGTTGTTGCCCTGCTGCTGGAGATCAGGGAGGAGGTTGTCTCGAAAGCAGAGCTTTGTGCTTGAGTCGAAGAGGGTAAAGCTGTAGTTTCTGGAGGAGATGTGGCCATGGAGACGGTGGTGTGATTTTCCTCCATGGTTGTTGTGGCGATAACAGTACTTTCCTCCAGGGTGGATGCAGCCGTGCTGGTAGCACTAGATTTTGTTGGAAAAGAGGAGATGGGTGTAGTTGTCAAAGTTGTGGAAATGTTCTCATCAGATGTGCTCAGAAGAGGGGATGTGGTGGCTGTAGTTGGACTTGTGGCTGTAGCAGAGGAGGATGAAGTCACAAGGACTGTGCTGGGGGATTCTGTTATCTGTGGAGTTGTGGAGGTGACAGCGGAAGCAGAAGTTGTTCCAGCTGTGCTGGGAGTGACTGCAGTGGTTGTTTGAGCTGCTGGGCTCGTTGTTGCTGTGCTGCTAGAGATCATGTAGGAGGTTGTCTCGAAAGCAGAGCTTTGTGCTTGAGTCGAAGAGGGTAAAGCTGTAGTTTCTGAAAGAGATGTGGCCGTAGAGAAGGTGGTGTCATTTTCCTCCGTGGTTGTTGTGGCGATTACAGTGCTTTCCTCCAGGGTGGATGCTCTCGGGCTGGTAGCAGTGGAGGCTGTTGACAGAGAGGAAATGGGTATCGAAGTTGTCAAAGTTGTGGAAATATTCTCGGATGTGCTCAGAAGAGATGATGTGGTGGCTGTAGTTGGGCTTGTGGCTGGAGCAGAGGAGGATGAAGTTACAAGGACTGTGGTGGGTGATTCTGTTATCTGTGGAGTTGTGGAGGTGACAGCGGAAGCAGAAGTTGTTCCAGCTGGGCTGGGAGGGACTGCAGTGGTTGTTTGAGCTGCTGTGCTCGTTGTTCCTGTGCTGCTGGAGATCAGGGAGGAGGTTTTCTCAAAAGCAGAGCTTTGTGCTTGAGTCGAAGAGGGTAAAGCTGTAGTTTCTGGAGGAGATGTGTTCGTAGAGACGGTGGTGTAGTCTTCCTGCATGGTGGTTGTGGCGATCACAGTGCTTTCCTCCATGGTGGATGCACCCCTGCTGGTAGCACTAGATTTTGTTGAAAAAGATGAAGTGGATGTAGAAGTTGTCAAGGTTGTGGAAATGTTCTCCTCAGATGTGCTCAGAAGAGATGATGTGGTGGCTGTAGTTGGGCTTGGGACTGGAGCAGAGGAGGATGATCTTACAAGGACTGTGGTCGGCGAATCTGTTATCTGTGCAGTTGTGGAGGTGACAGCAGAAGCAGAAGATGTTCCATCTGTGCTGGGATTGACTGCAGTGGTTGATTGAGCTGCTGTGCTCGTTGTTGCCCTGCTGCTGGAGATCAGGGAGGAGGTTGTCTCGAAAGCAGAGCTTTGTGCTTGAGTCGAAGAGGGTAAAGCTGTAGTTTCTGGAGGAGATGTGGCCATGGAGACGGTGGTGTGATTTTCCTCCATGGTTGTTGTGGCGATAACAGTACTTTCCTCCAGGGTGGATGCAGCCGTGCTGGTAGCACTAGATTTTGTTGGAAAAGAGGAGATGGGTGTAGTTGTCAAAGTTGTGGAAATGTTCTCATCAGATGTGCTCAGAAGAGGGGATGTGGTGGCTGTAGTTGGACTTGTGGCTGTAGCAGAGGAGGATGAAGTCACAAGGACTGTGCTGGGGGATTCTGTTATCTGTGGAGTTGTGGAGGTGACAGCGGAAGCAGAAGTTGTTCCAGCTGTGCTGGGAGTGACTGCAGTGGTTGTTTGAGCTGCTGGGCTCGTTGTTGCTGTGCTGCTAGAGATCATGTAGGAGGTTGTCTCGAAAGCAGAGCTTTGTGCTTGAGTCGAAGAGGGTAAAGCTGTAGTTTCTGAAAGAGATGTGGCCGTAGAGAAGGTGGTGTCATTTTCCTCCGTGGTTGTTGTGGCGATTACAGTGCTTTCCTCCAGGGTGGATGCTCTCGGGCTGGTAGCAGTGGAGGCTGTTGACAGAGAGGAAATGGGTATCGAAGTTGTCAAAGTTGTGGAAATATTCTCGGATGTGCTCAGAAGAGATGATGTGGTGGCTGTAGTTGGGCTTGTGGCTGGAGCAGAGGAGGATGAAGTTACAAGGACTGTGGTGGGTGATTCTGTTATCTGTGGAGTTGTGGAGGTGACAGCGGAAGCAGAAGTTGTTCCAGCTGGGCTGGGAGGGACTGCAGTGGTTGTTTGAGCTGCTGTGCTCGTTGTTCCTGTGCTGCTGGAGATCAGGGAGGAGGTTTTCTCAAAAGCAGAGCTTTGTGCTTGAGTCGAAGAGGGTAAAGCTGTAGTTTCTGGAGGAGATGTGTTCGTAGAGACGGTGGTGTAGTCTTCCTGCATGGTGGTTGTGGCGATCACAGTGCTTTCCTCCATGGTGGATGCACCCCTGCTGGTAGCACTAGATTTTGTTGAAAAAGATGAAGTGGATGTAGAAGTTGTCAAGGTTGTGGAAATGTTCTCCTCAGATGTGCTCAGAAGAGATGATGTGGTGGCTGTAGTTGGGCTTGGGACTGGAGCAGAGGAGGATGATCTTACAAGGACTGTGGTCGGCGAATCTGTTATCTGTGCAGTTGTGGAGGTGACAGCAGAAGCAGAAGATGTTCCATCTGTGCTGGGATTGACTGCAGTGGTTGATTGAGCTGCTGAGCTCGTTGTTGCCCTGCTGCTGGAGATCAGGGAGGAGGTTGTCTCGAAAGCAGAGCTTTGTGCTTGAGTCGAAGAGGGTAAAGCTGTAGTTTCTGGAGGAGATGTGGCCATGGAGACGGTGGTGTGATTTTCCTCCATGGTTGTTGTGGCGATAACAGTACTTTCCTCCAGGGTGGATGCAGCCGTGCTGGTAGCACTAGATTTTGTTGGAAAAGAGGAGATGGGTGTAGTTGTCAAAGTTGTGGAAATGTTCTCATCAGATGTGCTCAGAAGAGGGGATGTGGTGGCTGTAGTTGGACTTGTGGCTGTAGCAGAGGAGGATGAAGTCACAAGGACTGTGCTGGGGGATTCTGTTATCTGTGGAGTTGTGGAGGTGACAGCGGAAGCAGAAGTTGTTCCAGCTGTGCTGGGAGTGACTGCAGTGGTTGTTTGAGCTGCTGGGCTCGTTGTTGCTGTGCTGCTAGAGATCATGTAGGAGGTTGTCTCGAAAGCAGAGCTTTGTGCTTGAGTCGAAGAGGGTAAAGCTGTAGTTTCTGAAAGAGATGTGGCCGTAGAGAAGGTGGTGTCATTTTCCTCCGTGGTTGTTGTGGCGATTACAGTGCTTTCCTCCAGGGTGGATGCTCTCGGGCTGGTAGCAGTGGAGGCTGTTGACAGAGAGGAAATGGGTATCGAAGTTGTCAAAGTTGTGGAAATATTCTCGGATGTGCTCAGAAGAGATGATGTGGTGGCTGTAGTTGGGCTTGTGGCTGGAGCAGAGGAGGATGAAGTTACAAGGACTGTGGTGGGTGATTCTGTTATCTGTGGAGTTGTGGAGGTGACAGCGGAAGCAGAAGTTGTTCCAGCTGGGCTGGGAGGGACTGCAGTGGTTGTTTGAGCTGCTGTGCTCGTTGTTCCTGTGCTGCTGGAGATCAGGGAGGAGGTTTTCTCAAAAGCAGAGCTTTGTGCTTGAGTCGAAGAGGGTAAAGCTGTAGTTTCTGGAGGAGATGTGTTCGTAGAGACGGTGGTGTAGTCTTCCTGCATGGTGGTTGTGGCGATCACAGTGCTTTCCTCCATGGTGGATGCACCCCTGCTGGTAGCACTAGATTTTGTTGAAAAAGATGAAGTGGATGTAGAAGTTGTCAAGGTTGTGGAAATGTTCTCCTCAGATGTGCTCAGAAGAGATGATGTGGTGGCTGTAGTTGGGCTTGGGACTGGAGCAGAGGAGGATGATCTTACAAGGACTGTGGTCGGCGAATCTGTTATCTGTGCAGTTGTGGAGGTGACAGCAGAAGCAGAAGATGTTCCATCTGTGCTGGGATTGACTGCAGTGGTTGATTGAGCTGCTGAGCTCGTTGTTGCCCTGCTGCTGGAGATCAGGGAGGAGGTTGTCTCGAAAGCAGAGCTTTGTGCTTGACTCGAAGAGGGTAAAGCTGTAGTTTCTGGAGGAGATGTGGCCATGGAGACGGTGGTGTGATTTTCCTCCATGGTTGTTGTGGCGATAACAGTACTTTCCTCCAGGGTGGATGCAGCCGTGCTGGTAGCACTAGATTTTGTTGGAAAAGAGGAGATGGGTGTAGTTGTCAAAGTTGTGGAAATGTTCTCATCAGATGTGCTCAGAAGAGGGGATGTGGTGGCTGTAGTTGGACTTGTGGCTGTAGCAGAGGAGGATGAAGTCACAAGGACTGTGGTGGGTGATTCTGTTATCTGTGGAGTTGTGGAGGTGACAGCGGAAGCAGAAGTTGTTCCAGCTGTGCTGGGAGTGACTGCAGTGGTTGTTTGAGCTGCTGGGCTCGTTGTTGCTGTGCTGCTAGAGATCATGTAGGAGGTTGTCTCGAAAGCAGAGCTTTGTGCTTGAGTCGAAGAGGGTAAAGCTGTAGTTTCTGAAAGAGATGTGGCGGTGGAGAAGGTGGTGTCATTTTCCTGCGTGGTTGTTGTGGCGATTACAGTGCTTTCCTCCAGGGTGGATGCTCTCGGGCTGGTAGCAGTGGAGGCTGTTGACAGAGAGGAAATGGGTGTAGAAGTTGTCAAAGTTGTGGAAATGTTCTCCTCAGATGTGCTCAGAGGAGATGATGTGGTGGCTGTAGTTGGTCTCGAGGCTGGAGCAGAGGAGGATGATCTTACAAGGTCTGTGGTGGGCGATTCTGTTATCTGTGCAGTTGTGGAAGTGACAGCAGAAGCAGAAGATGTTCCAGCTGTGCTGGGATTGACTGCAGTGGTTGTTTGAGCTGCTGGGGTCATTGTTCCTGTGCTGCTGGAGATCAGGGAGGAGGTTGTCTCTATAGCAGAAGTTTGTGCTTGAGTCGAAGTGAGTAAAGCTGTAGTTTCTGGAGGAGATGTGTTCGTGGAGACGATGGTGTAGTTTTCCTGCATGGTTGTTTTCCCGATTACAGTGCTTTCCTCCAGGGTAGATGCAGCCGTGCTGGTAGCACTAGATTTTGTTGAAAAAGATGAAATTGATGGAGTTGTCAAAGTAGTGGAAATGTTCTCCTCAGATGTGCTCAGAAGAGTGGATGTGGTGGATGTAGTTGGGCTTGTGGCTGGTGCAGAGGAGGATGAAGTCACAAGGACTGTGGTGGGGTATTCTGTTATCTGTGGAGTTATGTAGGTGACAGCGGAATTAGATGTTCCAGGTGTGCTGGGATTGACTGCTGTGGTTGTTTGATCTGCTGGGCTCGTTGTTGCCGTGCTGCTGGAGAGCAGGGAGGAGGTTGTCTCTATAGCAGAGGTTTGTGCTTGAGTCGAAGAAACTAAAGTTTTAGTTTCTGGAGTAGATGTGGCCGGAGAGATGGTGGTGTAATTATCTTGCATAGTGGTTGTGGCGATCACAGTGCTTTCCTCCAGGGTGGATGCACCCGTGCTGGTAGCCATGGAGGTTTTTGGAAAAGAGGAAATGGGTGTAGAAGTTGTCAGAGTTGCGGAAATGTTCTCATCGGGTGTGCTTAGAAGAGGGGATGTGGTGGCTGTTGTTGGGCTTTGGTCTGGAGCGGGGGACGATGATGTTACAAGGACTGTCGTGGTGGATTCTGTTATTTGTGGAGTTGTGGAGGTGACAGCAGAAGCAGAAGATGTTCCATCTGTGCTGGGATTGACTGCAGTGGTTGATTGAGCTGCTGGGCTCGTTGTTACCGTGTGGCTGTAGAGCAGGGAGGAGGTTGTCTCTAAAGCTGAGGTTATTGTTTGTGTCGAAGTGCATAAAACTGCAGTGCCTGCGGAAGACGTGACATTGTTAATCTTTGTTAGTTGGTTCTAAAGTTCTTTTTTCAGTAAATATATCTATCTGAGCATTCCATAAACTCAAATTCCTTCCTTTCCATTGATTAATCATTCTCCTACTAATTTTCAATTCCTTTTTGTCCTCCTCAGTGCTCAATAAGTTTTGGCAAATCTGATTTTGTACTTTCTAGTTAGTTATTACATAACACCTCCTTGAGAAATTTATGCTGTTATAAGTTTTTTAGTATATTTCACTAAGGAACAGACCTCAGAATAGCAATAGATACCCAAATAGGTCAATAATAAGTTTAATAAATAAACTCTTTAGAAGTCAAACACTTTTCAAGCTGCTTTGCATGTATGTTTTTATACTGTATACTTTTTTCAATTTTCCTGAACTGGCAGTACCTGAACTTTTTGCTAGTCATTGACACCTACTTTGGTGACTGACAACACAATGCCTGTGTCTTTGTCAGCCTAGAAGAATTACTCTCTTCCTGTGAGCTATTTGCAAATGCTCAAAATTATTCAGATTGAGTTTTTCTAAGGTGGGGTCATTCTACTCATAATCCTTTACAGGAATCACACCCCATGCCTCCACAGTTAGGTTCAGCTCTGTAAGTCTGGTATGCATCTCTTCCTGTGATGAATACCAGCCTTGCTAGGTAACACCTGTGATTGACACCCACTAGGAAACTAATAGCTTTAATGTTTTGCCTCTGTTAGTGCTGCTACAGAGATAAAAGATGGGGAAAGGAAGAGCTACTCAGACCAAGCTATTCAAAATTTAAAGAATCATTATCATATTCCAGCACCCAAGCCAACAATTTCCTTGTTGTCACACTATGCTAGATGGACCACCGAAGAGAAGAATTTGTGTGGACTTTTTCCTGGAGATGTTCAGCTTGCACTGCTGGAAGATCTGAGCTTACTGTCCAGCCACCTGGAACAACTTGGTTGTGAGCCACTTCCAGTCTAGAGGCTGTATTGCCTTGTGGAGAGGGAACTGTGGGGTCCTGATGGACAAGTAGTCCATGAGCCAGCAGTGTGCCCTTGTATCCAAGGCCAATGGTATCTTGGGCTTCATTAGGAAGAACATCACACTGGGTCAAGAGAGGTAATCCTCCCTCTCTACTCAGCCCTTGAGAGGCCTCATTTGGAGTACTGTGTCCAGTTTTGGGCTCCGCATTACAAGAGATATATGGAGCTCCTGGAGCAAGTCCAGTGAAAGGCTACTAGAATGATTAAGGGTCTGGAGCACTTCTCCTGTAAGAAAAAGCCCAAGGCAGGTGGGCTGGTTGAGCCTAGAGAAAAAAGGGCTCAGGATCTATATGTATAAGTATCTGAAGGCAGGGTGTCAAGAGGATGGGGCCAGACTCTTCTCAGTGGTGCCAGACAATAGGACAAGAAGCAAAAGCAAAAAACTACAGCACAGGAAGTTCCAGCTGAACATGAGGAAGAACATTACTGTGAAGTTGATCGATACCATTGGAATAGGTTGCCCAGAGAGGCTGTGGAGTCTCTTTCCCTGGAGATATTCAAGAGCTCTTTGGACATAATCCTAAGCATTGTGCTCCAGGTGACCCTGCCTGAGCAAGGAGCTTGGGCTGCCTGACCACTGGTGGTCCTTTCCAACCTCAACCATTCTGTGATTCCATAACTAACATGCTGTGTAAAGCAAACTAATAAACACTTCTCCTTATCATGACTTGTAATCTATGATCCAGTGCTAAGCAAAGCACAGCTCTATACTTTATACACAAAAATAATGCCTTGCCCTTTCCCTATTCCTTCATCTTTATGGTCTTTTTAGATGCCAGTCATTCAAGTGAGACTCTAGCATTTCTGTGCATGGAAGGAATATTAGAAATTACAGGCACGATAATGTTGATGTTTACAACAAAATAAAGCTTCCAAAGTTCAGAGGCAAGAGTCAGTGAAGTCCATTCCTTATCCGAAGAAAGGATGCAGTTCTGTGTAACTATCAGATATACTCCTTTTTTTTTTTTGTAAAATATGGGATGCTGGAATCCCTGTACCATGTGGTGTTTATATATAAAGGTCAATATTAACAACTGGTTAAATTCTGCCTTTTTCTCTGTACTATCTTAGGGGTTTAAGCCATTCATGCAATGTTTAATAGATTTGTTACTGGGATTTTTTTCAGAAAACCAAAGGAAGGGACCAAACACAATGAATTAATTTTGTCTTGTATCTTCATCTGATGTAGCTGCTAAGTCTGTACCTTGGTATCAGTATTTTCACAATGTTCCTGTGACACAGAACAATGTTTGCTGTCTTTACAATGAGATGTATGATTTGCTTTCAGGCTATGCATCCAGTTTCTGGCAGAGAGGGCCAGTGATTCACAAAGGCTAACCTCTATATGGCAATCAAGTCCTCTAGCCAGCAAACTGGAAGCACATGTTTGTCTAACAGTAACTGGATATATTCACATGTAAGCAGTAATTTTGCACACACTAAACTATTGAGACTGAGTTGCAAATTAGAAAACCAAGGAAATGGTGCAGTGGCAAAAGGCAAACATTTTCACATTCAACTGGCAGAATGTTGTCCATTTAAAATCCTTTTGAAATCCTTGTGCAGATTTCTGTACACCAACTAAAACAAAAACAGCCAAAAGGCTACTGGGAGAGAGTAAATTAATCTAAATTCATTCAATTTTTATATTATGCAAGTGTTTTGGAGCCTGTATAATTTAAAGCAATATTTAGCAACTTCTGCATTTCCCCTCTAATTCAGAATTAAAACAGCCTTAATTGCCTTTACTTTAAAACTAATATTTATTTTAGACAATTAGATTTATACTCCTTTGAGTAACTACTACCACCAAACTGCTATTCTGTATAGAAATCAAGTAATTCACACTTGAATTTTCAAAAAAAAAATCTTGAATTTTATGATGATTAAATGTCTTCTAGATTTGCAATTCAGAATTATTCACAAAGCTAATTTTCATTTTATAAGAAATATAATTTCAGTGACTTGAGCATTCCAGAGCCTCACACTCAGAGCCTCAGTCATTTTGTTGCCATTGAAAATGTCATTCTAGATTTTCAGTTTTGTTTTTTTTTTTGTGGGTAAAAAAGTATTTCTAGCTCGATTATTTTCTCAAAACATTTATTATTTGGACTCTCCTCTTTTTATGAGTTAAAAACTTAACTGAGAATCGTACACAAGCAGTTTACAAGGTAAATATTAATATCTCTCTCATTCTTTTAATAAAACATAAGAAATGAACTTTGGTTGCTGAAAACAAATATGACAGTTTATGTTCTGTCTTTTGCTAAGTGCTGTATCCTCATTTATATGCACCATATGTCTCCCTCTCTGTTATTTTTTCCTTCTCACTGAAGAAAACTTGAGTAATTTCTGCGTGCTAAGAAATAACAAGGAAATGAGCAATGTAATCATGCCAATCAAAAGTATATGGCAGAGGGGTTTTCACTTGTATCACAAGGTAAAATCTGAATAGATTTAATTAACAGTTGTCCTGGTTATTGTTTGAAGAAGTTACACAGATACAAATAAAACACGCTCTCTTTGGTTATTGTTTGTAGTGGGAGTAATTTCATTGGAAAAATAGGTAAACCTTTAGAGAATATATTGAAAGGAGTCTTTCTGTTAAAGTAGCAAATAAATGAAGCTTACCTGAAAAGCAGCATAATGCTATGATAATAGATATAAGTTTATGCTTATATCGAGATAAATTTGTTGTCCAATCCATCTTTTTTTCTTGAAAGATTATAGTTTTACCAGATAAGTCCAAAATTCCCTTCAGTATCTGCTGAGCTCTCGGTAGCACGGAAATAACTCTCAGCACCAGGTGAAGAAGATGAGTCTGATGGTCAAGGTGAAACGTTCTTAAACTAAAGCACCTTGCATAATGCCAGCACCTTGTTGAGGGTTTGGAGAGGGACACACCTGCTTGTACCTTACAGCCCAAGGATTTTAAAATTAGAATATGGTACTTTCCCTTTAGGTAAGGTAAATAAGAAACTTGCTGCTTGAAAAGGTCAGTGTGTGTTAATCTGAGCATGAAATGATCAGGAATGGGGACTAGTCTACACCCTTAAGAAGGCCACAAGCACACATTCATCTCTTAGACATTTAAGGTCAGGGTGGGCACATAACAGAAAGAAAGACAGCGGGTTTGTTGAGCTTTACATTTCAGTATTACAATTTCCTTTTACAGATAATGAGAAAACATTTTCTGATGCTATTTTGTGAATTGCTGTATACTAGGAAAGGCCCAATTTGATTGTCACATCATTGGTCACATCCTTCCTAGCATAAGGAGCCAAGATTATATCCACTGTTGTAATTGCAGATGGACAATTTTGCTTCATCTCAGTGGTCTCCTGGATTTCTTCCATTGTTGTTGAATGAGAGAATGGGTAGAAGGATTCAGGAGAAGATCTTTGAGGGAATGCACAAAAGTAAAGAGGTGGATAAAGTGGCAAAATGCAGTGAATTCATGCGCTACTGTCAGTAGGTAACTGAAGTAGTAGATAACAGCATTGTTTAAAGGATTGCCACATCCAGGAATTCGAAAGATCATTAAAATGCTTTTCAACTATTTTAGACCATCATCAATATTGAATGAAACTGACATTTTGTGCATCATGAAATCATGATTTTCAGTTGACAGAGAGTATGAAAATAGACAGGTATACAGACTCTGCTTGACTTTGCGTTCCCTCATGCCTGAACTCCTGTTCTTGTTCTCTTTCCAGAATCCTGATTCCTTTTCCTCTCACACTTCTTTCTTGTTCAAGATGAACCCAGGGAAAAATAAAATAAAATCTTATGTGTGTTTTCTGTTAGATTCTAGTTAACAGTTCTAATTAACCCATGTGTTTTGTTTAGGGAAAGGGCCAACATCTTTTTAATACCTGCTTCCTGATGGAGCGGCTTGGTTGCCAATACAGTGCTAGGTTTAGAGGTGGATGTTTGTCTGTATGACCACGAAAGTCTCTAGCATACAATTATATTTCAATCAGCTGGTGTATGAGTATTAGTGTAATACTTAGTTTGACTGGATTGAAAAATCACATTATATTTGCTGTGCTGTAGAACTCGTAGGGTGCAGGTGTGCTTTGAATATCCAAATTTTTTTCTGAATGTTTGAGGTAATTTACATGAAAAGTGTCCTTTTCACAGGTAAAGAACTAGTAAACACTGGCTAATATATTTCTAACAAAACTAAAGTAAATTTGGTTTTCCAGCTTGAGGAACTGAATGGTTCTTATAAGGCCCAGATTCATTCACATCGATATTATTTCTCTGTAAAACACAGTTTTCATTTGTTGATACGATACAAGGACACTATTAATTGCTTGGTTTGCACTGGTTGAATAACACATAGAGATTAAAAGTTCCTTCCAAAGTTTCTGAAATTACAGCAAGCACCTATGTCATAGTCTGAGGGGCTGACGTGTGTGTGTTCCTGCCTGGTTGTGCAAGCTGTTAGGTAAGTTGAACAGTCCTTGACCTTTCATCAAGTTAGTAAGGGAGAAAGAATTTGTGATTCACAATTCATTTCTTCTTGCTTAGCCACTGTCATTAACATGGTCTTTCTTTTGCTTATCTTTATGCATAAAAAGAGTTAAAAAATCAGAGGGGAGGGGAATAATCCCAGCATACTGGAGAGTCACTTGGAGAGTAGTTGCAAAAACCATGAAGGTAAATCAAGTTGCAACAAAGGAGTTTGGGGAATAATTCTGAGGTGTATGCAAAAAGACACAGCCCCCGTGTTTTCATTTTGAACTTTATGAATAGCCAGTGGAGGCTGCTTTTTTTTCAATCCACTGAGTATCAAAACCCTAGATGGGAGGGCTACACAGGGAGATACATCAAGAGGCAGCCCTGATACTACTGAAAAGGAATAGAATTCACTTGCAGAACATACACATGGAATAAGGTGCTGTCACAAACTCTTTGTGATATAAAGGCAATGGTTGCTACATGGGATGACATGAAATCCATGTTATTTTCATGAAGTCTCTAGTATTGTTTCCATAAGCCAGCAGAATTTCCTTTTAAGCAGAACTCAAGTGTTTGTACCTCCCTGGTAGCAACACCTAGTTGTGTACACTCCTATTTCTGCACATGTAATGAAAGTGAAGGGAAAGGCCTGACTAGTTTGGAAAGAATGCAGCACCTTCACAAAGGCTGTTGGTAATTTCCTTTTTAAGCCTGCCGTTTTAACCAGGAATGAACTTCCCTAAGAGAAACTCAGTTCTGAAAGAGGGATAATTCTTGCACTTCTGCTGGCGCAGCAATGGAAACCTTAGTGGGTAATCCTTTCCTAAGTAGCTTGGAAAGCAATTTGTCATAAATTTCATTCTTTGACTGTTCTATATTAACGAATACTCACGAAACTATGATTGATTAATCAGGTTTTACCAGTCTGTTTTGTAACTGAATACTTCCTTCTGGTGGTATTGACGAAGAACTGCATTTTGAACACAAACCAGGTAAGGGCTGGGGAAGGAAGGGATTTCTCCTATTTCCGTACTAATTTATTTCCATTTACTTCTGGATTAGGGCACTGTTTAAGGGGTTTTTGTTCCTGTCTGAGCAGAGATCCTCTCAACACCTCCTTTGCCAAGCTTATCCTGCATCCAGAAACTAACTCTGACACAGTTTAACTGCCTAGAAGCCATAAGAGAACACAGTGCAACATAGATGGACTATCAAGGGAAAAGAGCAAACTAAATAGAGAATTTGGGCAATGTTTCCTGTGAGTGCACACTCAGACAAGCTCTTTCAGCTGTTGAGGGGCAGAAATCTGCAGTCAAGTTGCTACCCCTGCCCTGAAGCCTGAGTGACTGGAGCATTCCTTGACATCTGCACAGAGGGAACACTGAATCTGCAATAGCAAACAAATGTATCTCCACAGCACAAAGAGTTTCTAAGGATTAATATGTCACACAGAAAAAGTTTCCAGAAAAATCATCCCCAAATCTCCCTAGCTTAAGGAATAGTAACACATTTCAGATGACACCCAGGGAGAGAAAGCACCTCTGAAAGAAGATGATCTGACCCAAAATGAACAGTACTAAATGAGAGAAAAGAAACAGATGATCACTCTTACTCAACAAATCCTTAAAGCCTCTTACCTGCAGTGATGGTGCCCAGCCACGCCACGCCATCCGTCCCTGCGGTGGCCATGGAGGTCGGTGTCCTCATGGTGTGAGTGAGGCTGGGCAGCTCTATGGGGCTCCCTCCAGAACCCACTGTGGTCCCCACACTGGACACCATGACATCTGCCAGAGGCAAAATGCTGGCTGTGGAGGGGTCCCACGTGCTGCTCCTGTCAACCAGAGGCACAGCAGGGTCAGCTGTGTGGCGGAGACCCAAGGCTGTGGCACTTGAGGAGCTGTCTGAGGCTGGCTGGGGAGGCATCTGTGGAGAGCTCATGCCTTCCCTCTCATAGATGGAGGACAGTGGTGTCACGGTGGGCTCTGGGGAGTGGGTCAAGGGGTCCATGGGCATTGCTGTGGTGTTGAGGGTTTGGTGGCCCACTTCATCTGAAGCACTTTGCCTAAGGAGAGGTGGCTTGGTCAGACTTTTGTCTTCCACGGTTGTCTTTGTGCTTGTTCCCAGGCCATGGTTCTCCTCTGAAACTGTTACTAGTCCCAGCACTGTGGGTTCAGCCTCTTGCGTCGTTGCCCCCATCGCTGCTGGTTCATTGGTGCTGTGCACCACGTTGCTTGTACCTGCTGGTGAAGTAAATGGGTCTCAATACTTCAAATGCCTTCATAGTTGCCCTCTCTAAAAGAGGTTAACGACTGCAGTAAACCTAACCTCTCATCACAGGGCATATGCCACAGGCTGCTCAAGCTTTAACTATTTTGGACTCATTTTCTCCCTCTTCTTCATTCTCAGAATAATACACAATTACTAGAAAGCATCTCAGTTATGTTCTACCTTGAATTCATACCTCTGCACTGTATGCACATATTAGGTACAAATGCTTTCCAGGAAAGTTTTTAATAATCTCTGCTATTAATCCTAGCTTAAATATAGTTAGACATAGATGTGTAGATTTGACATACAGATACACATTCACAATTCCCTTTAAGAAAACTTCCCCCTTCCTTATAAAAGCTTAACATTTTCCCTGGAGCATTCTATGAAATAATTAACACAAGGTGCACCCTACCTGTTGCGCATATGTTGAAATACAATGCCAAGACTATGAGTATATTTTGTATGAAATACTGCATAGAGCAATGTTTCCAAGTCATTTTGTTGTCTTGAAACTACTTGTCCAAGGGAGGGATTGCTTCAGGCTCCTCGCAACTCTGCTACCTCTGCAAGCAAATTCCAAATGTTATGGAAGTCGCTCAGGCAATGCAAGCATGTTGCTCTGTTAGCTGAGCTGCTGACACACCTTAAAGTCCTGCTTAGTTTAAGAAACTGTTGTTATCTGGGCAAGAAGGTTGTGGACCCAACATGTTGATTTATACTTAGAAAAACGCAGTCACATTTGTGCATCTGTTGGAAACTTCCCTGAGGATCCATATTGCCCAGCTAAGTCTGGGTATGCAAAAATGGATTTGTAAAGAAAAAGCATCTGAAATGGAGGGAAGGGAAGGAAGTGGAAAGGAAGGGAAGAGGGTTTGATGGGCTGAAGATTACTTAGGAAATAGGCAATTTAAAAAATACCTCCTTTGTAGTTTTGAGATTCTCCAATCAACCTCAAACAGTTCTTATACTTCAGGCAGAAATGTGCTAAACCCACGATACTAGGACAGATGAGATGCACATCCCTGCCTCTTCTGCTTCTATGCCAGCAACAGAGGGATGAATTGAGATTATGGTTTCACAGGTGTGAACCACTCTGCCTCCTGATTTCCAGTGCTGTTGCACTGAACCTAATGTACTGAAACTGTCCTTCTGCCATTTCTTCAGATGAAATTCAGCTACCCAGAGAGCTGAATCACAGAATCAAGTCATAGAATCCCAGACTGGTTTGGGTTGGAAGGGACCTTAAAGTCCATCCAGCTCCAACCCCTGCCACGGGCAGGGACCCCTTCCACTGGAGCAGCTTGCTCCAAGCCCCTGTGTCCAACCTGGCCTTGAGCACTGCCAGGGATGGGGCAGCCACAGCTTCTCTGGGCACCCTGTGCCAGCGCCTCAGCACCCTCACAGGGAAGAGCTTCTGCCTAAGAGCTCAGCTCAGTCTCCCCTCAGGCAGGTTCAAGCCATTCCCCTTGGCCTGTCCCTACAGGCCCTTGTCCAAGCCCCTCTCCAGGTCTCTTGTATGAAATCACAATCTGGAAAATACTTTGTGTTTGTTTCCAGAATGAAAACCACCTCAGTTAGTATTAAATTTACTATCTGACATGGTGAAGGAGTTGCTGTCTGGAGATTGTTCAGTAACAGTCTCTGCTCAAGGGCTGTGTTTGTCTTTGCATCCTCACTGTGTGCATGCCCTGCTGAATCAATCAAAACAGGGTCTCTCCTTGCACAACATGTGGGCCACTAGAGGCCATCCTATACCTCATAAACTGAAGTAGCAAAGCATATGGAAATAAAGGCCAACAGAAAGGAATCATAAAAGATTAATTAAAGTCCTGATACTTTCCCAGCAAACCAAGCAGCTTGTTTGGTGAGAGGTTGTTCTTTACTTGCACCCTTATGATTTTGGTGCTGTTTTTCCCTGAAGTATTTGCTACTGATGCAGCCAAGTTGCTGCACTGCCCTAGACTCTTGCTCCCATTAGCAGTGTAAATTCAATGGTCTTTTAGTTACAGCTGGTGTTGGTTTAGTTTCATAGGAGAGTGTTTAAAATCTTTCCTGGCCACACCGTTCTGTCTTTCTGTTTAACTACAGATTAAATTCTACATTGAATCTATTCCTTCTTGTAGGGGCTGCCAAAGGGTAAAGACTAAAATCATACAGAGCACCTCAGGGCGTGAAAGGGGCAAAGGAAAAGCTAACAAGGGACAGTCCTTCCATGTCTTCCCTCCTAGCAACATGTAAAACACAAAAGCCTTTGTAGTAGGAGTGGAGGGAGAGCTCAGCCCTTGTCACCACCAGCAATAAAACACAGGGTGTTTGGGCTTTGTTGGAGCAATCCAGAATGAAAGGGACAAACATTTACCATGAGAACAAAGCAACAAGGAACCTAAGCTCAATTAGCTCAAATTTATAAGGACTTCTGGTAGCATTTTACATCCAGTTTTTACAGGCTTGACTAAAAATTCAAGGGGCTTTGCAAACCCCATGTTCCCTTCTGAAACCAGTGCATGGTTCCTGTTTCCCCTAATGCATGGCTGCGGTAGTGGCAGATGCAGGTAGGCTGGGGACAAGGCAAAGCACTGCTCTGTGAGTGTCCCTGTGCCAAAGCTCCATCTTGAGCATGCCAGTGTTCTACTTCAGTGAGACTTCAATGCCTCCTTAATTACACATCCAAACACACTTCAAGTGCTCTACTAAAGGAATCCATTTTAAATTAGGATCATACTGATGATTTTACAAATAATATTAAGTAAAAGTGAGAAACTTATACAGAGAAGAAACAATTTGTTGGGGGTGTTCCCTCAGTGTTTTAATATGGTGATTCCTTAGCTCATGGCAAAACAGATGCTCAGATTTGATAGAAATTTGATGTCTTCTTTATACTCAACATGCCAGTCCTATAGTACGGGGATGGTGGGATGAATTATAGCTTTAAATATCAACCTATGCCTGGCTCTTCTCACAGTGCCTAAAGGCAGATTGCCAAGGTACAGATTGGGTGACACGCATGCTGGCGTTGAACAGGCTGATTTTCACACCACCCCCTGGAATAAGCTTCATATTTGAAGGGTTTTTTCAAGAATTCTGTGGTATGAATGTAGGTCTTGGTAAATTTGTTTGGAGAAAATATAATGTGGAAGAGCAAAGGTTTGTTTACTTGAAAAACATCAATATCAAATACAGCCTCATTATTGTACAGCCAGAGGAGGTTGGGGTTTTGCAGTTGCCATCTTCAGTTCCTCAATTCTAAACTCCTTAACTCTTTTTATTCATTTAATAACAAAAGTTCTGTCATCTGGAGGTTTTGTTCCACTGGCAGTTTTTCTCCTGATTGAATCCGTAAACTTCACATCTTTTGTATAGGATATTATTTTTTTTACTTTTTTTTTTTTTTGCCATTAACTGGAATAATTCATGTAAGAACACTTTGTCTAATGAGCTATAACAGCACAGTTCAAAATGCAGTCTTTCATCTGTGGCATCATTACATTAGCTGGATCCTTCCGTCTGTTGCCATGAAATATAAAATACCAGGTTGTAAGAACTGATGCACTAGTGATTCCAGGATTAGTGATTACATGACAAGAACACAATAGAAAAGTCAGTTCTATTCTGCAATAGAGTTTAAAAGAAGGCTGGAATACTCTAAGATTTGGGGAATCAGCAAGCTATCTCCTTTGTACAGTAATTCTGTCATTAGGAATAGGTCTAAAGACAGCCCCATCTCCTCTCAGTTAGGCTTTTAGCTTCTTAGGGAGTTTCTGGAGGTGATTTATTTCGTGTTTTCCCATGCAAACATTCTTAGACTAAAATACTTGTGTTTTCTACATCTTTTGCAAAGGGAATAATAACATTAGCCATAAAACGTAATAGCATCGTTGCACGTAAGGCATAATACACTTGGAAGAGAGCAGCTTTAGGACTACAGAGGCAAGAATTACCTGCCTTAACATCTGTCTTTAACAGAATTGAATTAATAAACATATTTTTCAAGACAAATGTCCAGCTCATAAGGATAATTTATTGCAACATCTACCTATTTTTGTGTCCTCCTATGAAAGTCCAGTTCTTGCTGCAGAGCTGGGCTCTTCAATTGAGTGGGAATGGGAATGCTCACTGCCACCTCATTGTCCTGTTGTGATGGCAAAAGTGGTCTGCTCTGGCTGCAGGCATTACAAGTGTGTCCAGCTCAAAAGTGGCTGTGTTTGTAAAGGAAGTGTCTGTTTCCATTGTGGTAGTTAACCAAGGAATTGTTGCTTCAGTTCTGAGAGTTTAATTGCAGATGGAGCTGTGTCACTACTAAATGTCTGAGACAGTGTCCTGCTTTGTTCTATACTCCTGTGCTGTTTGGTATATGGATCTATTTCCCCTCATCCTTGAGTATTTGATAATGATTCTTAGCTGAGTTTTGACTTGCCTTCTCATACTGATAGCACTCACTGAGACACACGTGTATTTTCCCTACCCTGATTCCCTGCTGTCTTGGGTTTTTTTCCATTTGATATCTTTGACCTAATCGTAAATCCAAAGAATATAATTTCTTTGAGAAGCTTAAAACTGGCATTACTGAAACAGCAGATAATCTTTAATAAGGCTGGTTGTGAACTTGACCTATTATTTTAGGCTTCTACCTCTGAAAAGAGAGGGGAGATTTTGTGGCCAAAATGCTACTAGTCTCAGAATGCAGACAGTGGGAACTTCCCTGCACCATTCTTCCCATCTTTTCTCTCATCTCCTAGGAGGAACCCTAAGTCAAAGAGCCAACCTGCGTATGGTTGTGCTGGGGCCACACTCGCACCTCCGCACCACGCAGAGCTCTGCCGCCTGCCTGGCGATGGATGGGACATATGCACAGAACTCGGTCGCACAGAAGCTTCATGTTGTAGTTTGGCTTTGGTTCTGCATCCCTTCCTAGTTCCTCTGCCTAT